TTGAATCTATCACCCTCAAGGCCCATAAAGACACAGCTAATAGACTCCTCTCCCTTGACTGTGCTTTCGCTCCAGTTGTTGCCTTATCTCTCCCCTTCCATTCACAGCCAGCTTGGCCTGCCTTTCAGACGCTATCTTCCTGGGCTTTCTCCTTCCCTTGACATTGTTAACCACTTCCTGCTCTTTAAACCCTCTGTGGCCCACTGGTGGCGTCTGCCTCTACCCTATCTCTTTCCCCCTCTTTGGGTCTTCTTTTTCGTTTCAGGCTTCATGCTTACCGTAACCTCGAGTGATCTGTATGTCTGCCTCTTCTTCACACTTTGAGCTTTCTGAACCCAGGAATCTTTGCACTGCTTCCCCGCCCCAACCCCCTCCCCAACCCCCAACCTGGCATGATGCCAGAACAGGAGGAGCTACTCCTGAAATGGTGTCAGTGTTACTTGAATCCCATTAAGAATATTGGCAGGTAATCCTGTCACGACTCCTTAGGGATGGTAAAGAGTCCTATTCCAGGAAAATCACGGATATTACTATCAAGGGAAGTTTTTCTCCACATTTGGGAGACTGTGCCCATTTAAAGACCCAGAGGAAGAGTGCTGTGGAGATCAAGTGATTAAATTTATTTAACAAATGGAGCTAGGACACTATATTGAGCAGGAGAGGGAAGGGTCCTCACATTCTCATCTCTGCTCTTCCTGAACTAAGGTTCTGTCTCTCTCAGAGAGCAAATGTGTTCAAAAATTCCTTTGAGCATCAGAAATATTCTGATAGGGGGCGCCTGGGCGGCTCAGTCGTTAAGCGTCTGCCTTCGGCTCAGGTCATGACCCCAGAGTCCTGGGATGGAGCCCCTGGGATGGATGCTTCTCCCTCTCCCACTCCCCCTGCTTGTGTTCCCTCTCTCACTGTGTCTCTCTCTGTCAAATAAATAAATAAATAAATCTTAAAAAAGAAATATTCTGATAGGAAAACTGTTAGCTCTTCTTCCCAAAACATACTGTGGTGAAGATCTTTGGTGATTAGACATATAACATTTTTGACTTTGGTGATTTTTTTAAAAGATTTTATTTATTTATTTGTCAGAGGGACAGAGAGAGAGCACAAGCAGGGGGAGCAGCAGGCTCCCTGCCGAGCAAGGAGCCTGATGCAGGGCTCAATCGCAGGACCCTGGGATCATGACCTGAGCTGAAGGCAGACGCTTAACCGACTGAGCCCCCCAGGCATCCCTTGACTTTGGTGATTTGACAGATGATTGATTTCATCTTCAAGATGTTTGTGATCTCATAAAGCACAACCCTGAATTGGCAGGAGTGCCGGCAGGGCTGTGTAAGCTCAGCTCCCTGAGGTACATCAGCCTCCAAGAGGGCTTATCCTGCTGGTTGGACCTGCCCTTTGTGTGTATATGGGAAAATATACACAATAGTGCTGTTTGGATATTGCTGAAGGTCTGGTGGATACAATCCTCACCATGTCAGAGTGTATTTTAAAAGACGATAATATTTTTTTAAAGATGTTATTTAGAGAGGGAGAGCGCACGAGTGGTGGAGGAGCAGAGGGAGACAGAGAGAGATAATCTCAAGCAGACTCTATACTAAGCACGGAGTCCCACACAGGGCTTGATCTCACGACCCTGAGATCACCACCTGAGGGAAAATCAAGAGTTGGACACTCAACAGACTGAACCTCCCAGGTGCCCCAAGATGATAGTATTAACGGGTGGTGAACTGAAGAGAAAAATCTTTAAAATGATAACTAAACTACAACGATGTATTATCTAAAGTATATTAAATATCATTTCAAAAACAATATGAATATAATAGTTGAGTTGCAGTTACTATCAAAGAGAGCTTTTGGGTAAGGAACTCATCCCTTTAAGCTCTTGTTTCCTCATCGATAAAGCAGTAGTTCTAACTTCTCAGCATTACAGTGGCGAATAAATTAGATTTTGTTTGGGGTGTGTGTGTGTGTGTGTGTGTGCGCGCGCCCATGTGTACACGCAGACACACACTTGGCACAGTGGCTGGCACACTATTATAGCTGAAATTCAATAAATTATTAAGATACGTAATTCACAAGGTCTGATACATCCGCTTTGGTGCTAAAATATTTTTGCTGCTAATTAATAAGAATTGACATGTTACCTCTGTCCTTGTGTAACAGGTATCACCTCATCCTGATAGAAGCTATAACGGGATGAAGATTGTCCCTCTTAAAATAAACTTATTGGTTCTTAAACAAATATGTTTTAGTTGATTAGGTTTTATTGTGGTTTTAAAAAAATCTAAGTAGTAAACAATGCAAAATTAATTTCTTGAATTGGCTTGAAATGTATTCTTTGTAGGGGTTTTAAGTTTCGCATTATATTTAACATATTTTATATATTTATATATGGTATTTTTGCCTTATTTTTGTATATGGTGAAGTATTTTTATATATGGTATCTCATTTAATCTTGTTCATGAGGAGGAAGGGTAGATATTATTGATATGGTTTTTAGGCTTAAGGCAAATGAGCCTCAGAGGGATTAAGTGACTGTCCAGTCACATAGTAAATGGTGGTCAAGACCTGGCACTTACCGCGAGCTGGATTTTCTGACCCAAGTCATGGGCTCATTCCTCCTCACTCTGCCTCTATCGATTGTGGTCATCAGTCCCTTGGGTTTGAAACTTAGAAACTTAAGTGTATTTAGGTGCATGCCCCTAGGATTTTAATTAGCTCTCTTAGTTCTTAAAAAACAAAACTTTTAACATAGAGTAAACTCTTTTTCTTTATCCAATAACCAAAGACAGATTTCTAACTGTGGCTGTGGATACACTTATATTTCTGCGAAAGTTGATTTCGAAGATCTGGATCACAAGGCATTGTAGGTAGAATGTGTAAATACCTTCTGAAATAATATCTTCTAAAAGATCAAATTACAGTTACTTTTATTTTGCTGCTGACTTTCATTACAGTCTAAATCTTAAATCCTATAAATCTACGGATGGCATATATTCTCTATTAAAAACACTGACAAAGAAACAAAAGCTTTCAGAGCCTTTACAAAGTGCCACGAGATGTTTCTGAGGCAGCACACAGCTTTGGCTGTGTACACAGGAGAGGGTTAACTCTTAACTTAGCAACAGGAGCATTGGAAAGGCAGAGTACTGAGAGACCACCAAAACCAGTCGATTACTCCCGTGGCTACCGCCTCTGAGTAGTGGGCTTTTCTGAGAGACTCTTGTTTTTCTCTCCACTCAAAACCCAGCTCAGGAAGATGCATCTTCTCTCCCGGTGTAGTGAGAGAGATGAGCACAGAGAGAACGGACTGTGGGAATGTGGGAGAGCATGGGGCTGCAGGAGAAGTTTATGAGCAGTGAGAGGCCACCAACGGCCACGTGAGGAGTTGGGTCAGTGTGTGGACACCGAGCAGTGTGGACCAATGTGACTGTGTTCGCTACCTAGGGCTGCTGAAACAATGTATCACAAACTAGGTGGCTTAAAACAACAGAAATGTATTCCCTTCCAGTTCTGGGAGCTACAAATCCAAAATCAAGGTGCTGGCAGGACTACATTCTCTCTGAAGACTGTAAGGGAGGATCCTTCCTTGCCTTCTTCCTAGCTTCCAGCGGCCCCTAGCAAAGCTTGACATTCCTTTGACTTATAGATACATCACTCCAGTCTCCGCCTCCATGTGAAGAGGCCTCTCCCCTGTATGTCTGTGTCCAAGTTTTTCCCTGGGTGAATTGTGATATTGAGAATGTGGTCCCATTCTTCACATAAACTTGCGAAGACAACACTGAACGAACAGACATCAGTGATTGATGATTTATCACTGATGGGCTTAAATGGAAGACGGGCAGTCTAGGAACAAGGAGCGACCATCCTCGAGGGCTTTCCACATGTGTCCATGTGCAGAGACACGGTAGGAGGGCATCTCAGAAATTCCGGCCCCACCTTTCTTCCCTTCCCTCACTTTTTCTTAGCCACTACCATCTTTATCCCCATGCTTTTCTTTGTTCTCATTCTCTTCTGAAATCACATATGACATCCAAAATAGAAGCTAGGCATGCTCAAGATTGGGATGATGGCTAGGGTGCAAGACATGTTCCTGCTCTTGCGCAAGTTGAGGACTTACTGAGGAGCGAAATTGCCAAATTTTTCATCTTCCTCTTTTTTCCATCTCATCTTTCACAATCTTTTTTTTTTTTTTAAAGATTTTATTTATTTATTTGAGAGAGAGAGAGAGAATGAGAGATAGAAAGCACGAGAAGGAAGAGGGTCAGAGGGAGAAGCAGACTCCCTGCTGAGCAGGGAGCCCAATGCGGGACTCGATCCAGGGACTCCAGGATCATGACCTGAGCCGAATGCAGTCGCTTAACCAACTGAGCCACCCAGGCGCCCTAGATTACTGTTTTAATAATACATGTTTAATTTCAATAAACTAATCCATTAAATATTTGAAATGATAAGAATAATTTCTTAAAGATTTTATTTATTTATTTGTCAGAGAGAGAGAGAGAGTGTGCACAAGCAGGGGGAGTAGCAGGCAGAGGGAGAAGCCCCCACTGAGCAGGGAGCCTGATGCGGACTCGAACCCAGGACGCTGGGATCATGACCTGAGCCAAAGGCAGATGCTTAACCGACTGAGCCACCCAGGCATCCCTTTTTAAGGGTTTTATTTATTTATCTGAGAGAGAGAGAGTGCACACGCGCACATGAGTGGGGGGAGGAGCAGAAGGAGAGGGACAAGGCAACTTCCCGCTGAGCCAGGAGGATCATGTCCTGAGCCCAAGGCAGACACTTAACCAGCTGAGCCACCCAGGCACCCCAAGAATAATTTAATCAATCCAGAAAATTGACTGACAGTATCACCCTAAGTCACAAAAAGAATAAACAAAAAGTTGCTTAGAAATATCACAGTGGTTTGAGGCGACACCTAAAATGATACTAGCGATCAGCTCCAAACTAGTTAGTTATGTAAGTGACCTATTTCTTGGTCCTGAAGTCTTGTGGTAAGCTGCTCAATGAACAGAAAACACCTTTGCCATCTCTACATGGATGACCTCCCAGGCACAGTTGATATGTTTTTGGTCTTGCAAATAGTCCCGGATCCCTTGGAAATAATTCTTTATTCCAAGTCTGGTATCTTCCCTCTGTGAGGATGAATGATCCTCCTGCCCGGTTTCCTGCTCCGGCCACACGTCTGTCTTCACTGTCTGCTGATATAGTCCACTTAGGAGTCCCTCTACACTGCTTTCATTCCACGAAGATTGGGAGACATTGAGGCTGAAAGTGTTGAAGTCCTGCTGTAGCATTTCTCGGAGGGCAGGGACAGCTCTTGCCTTCAGAACCTGATCAGTTGTCGAAACCTGGAGGAATATGAAGTCACTTCTGTCCTTCAGACATCTCAGAGGAAATTTGCCTCCTAGATTTTCTAAATGTAAGCTCTCCCAGTTGCTCCTCCCCTGAAAGTGACAGTCCAGAGAGAAGGCAGTACTGGAAACAAGTAGCACCAAGGCCCAAGCCAGCAAGGACCAGCGGGTCATGGCGGGCCCCTTCCCAGCGTTACTCCTTCCTCAGAGAGAGCCTGGAGAGGGATCACCTCTGGTTGCGCAGATCCCGCATCTCCAAATTTTTGTATCTGAGGGAGCCTTGTTTTTGCACGACCTTTCAGGATCCCCCTGCTTTCTTGCGGTCTTTTCTGCTTTTAGTTATTAATAATAATAAGCAAAACTTTTTAATAATAAAATTCTGTAGTGTCTTTGGATGGTGATACACACGTTCAATTTCAGAATTGTGATAGGTACGAGCTATCTCCTATGAAAGACCAACAATCAGTTAAGTGGAAACAAAGCTGGGAATGTTTTTGCCTTGGTTTACATTTTCTCTGCATGGCTCATGATGGCTTTCCTTCCTTTCCGTATGCTGTTTGTCCTTGTTTCAATCTCTGGATAAAATGCTTGTTTAGATATTTGGGGTGGTTTTCAAGGCTTTTTTTTTAGCTAATGGTACTTTATCACAAACTTGTATTTCAAAGTCCTTCCAACACATTTATGTACATTGAGATTTTTGTTAGTTTTTTTTTTTCTTCTGGCAAAACCAGAATTGTGGAATGTGTGAAATGTGTCTTTGGTCTCCTATCTCCCCATTTAATTCACTCACCTCCTTTGTACTCATGGTATTTCTTTTTTCCTCCTTTAGCAGAAAAGCAGAATGATGGAGAGTACCAATGCTGAAGGCAGGCTCCCTAGATTTGGATCAGATTTACCCCCTTCAACCTTAGGCAGCTGATTTAGCTCTCTAGGCCTCAGTTCTTTGCTTATTCATGTAAAGTGCTTAGGACACCGCCTGGTGTGCTCTCAGGGTTCAAAGCTTATTAGGATTATCAAGCACCATCACACCAGCCTGCTCTCGGCTGGCTGCCACAATCCCACATGGGCTGTCAACTATAAAGACTCTAAAGCTGCGAACAGCTTAACTCCTTCTAATTTTATTGAAGATGGACCATGTGTATGATACCGTGTTAAATAACAGGGGTGCAGAAACAACAAAGGAAAGAAGCTAGCACCCTTGCCTTCAAGATGCTCATACCTAGACAACCAAAAGACCACGAAGGGAACAAGGAAGTCTAGTGGTGTGAAAATAGCCACAAAATACAGTATAGTGTGATGAGTTAGAAAAGTCTTCAGAAAATTCTAGAAGGATTCATGTCTCTGAGAATGGGGAAGGTAGTGAAAAGCCTTGGAGATCCTTAGAGAATAGCTGGTCCCACAGGAGACGAGTCAGAGAACAGTATCCAGGAAGAGAGACAAAGGCATCAGCAGAGGCATGGAATGGTCCATGTTGGAAAGTCCTGGAGACATCCACAGGTGGAAGTGAGAGTGAGCACTGTTCAGTGCCTGGGGATAAGTCTAGCAATGATCGCTTGAGGGCGGACAATGCTTCTGGTGCAAAGGAATGAATTTTTATTGGAAGAATTTCCAGTTTTATAAAATTGGAAAAATATCTTGAGGCATGGAGTAGCCTCCAGGGCCTCTCATATCACAGATGTAAGTGACCACCTAATGGTCGAGGGTGACTTTTACAAGTGTAATTGCTGAGTTATCTGCTTTATATGGATTTAAATTTGTTTTGTCTTGACCATCATTTACTGACCCAAAACAGACCTTCCACCTGGAGAACCGCTTTGTACTCAACTCAGTCACATTCTTTAGCACTTACTCTCCTCAAGATTTGCTGCTGGCAAAACCTTAGTTTATATTTGTCTAAAAATGTCTCTACTTATTTGTGGAAAACACATCAACAAATATTTGTTGAACTAGTTGAGTTGACTTCAATAGATTGAATTAAATAACCAGTTTTTTTTTAACTCATAAGGATCCTTTTAAAGATCAGTCAATTTTGAATTTTCCAAGCAAATAAGCTTAAAAATGCTATTACTATATCAGCCCAATAACTGGCATGTTTCGATGTAATTGGCCTACTTTTTATTAATTTTTTCTTTCTATTTTATTGTAAGCCATAATGCAAGATTTTGATAGCCTTTAAAAACCACTTTATAACCCAAGGGTGAAAATGTAGGTGAAGCACAGAAGGACTATATCAAATATTGGCTAATCCATATTTATTGGTTTTATTTAGCTTTATGGGGATATAATTGATAAAATTATAAGATATTTAAAGTGTACACTATGACGATTGGATACATGTATACGTTGTGAAAGGATTATGCGGATTTAAATATTGGTCTCCCTCTGAAATCGTTTTTGAATGGATTTCCTGGCAGTTTAGAACACCTTTTGGCCTTTTACCCCATCAGCCAGAAACTCCCATTAGCCTGTATTTGTTTTGCTGTCTCCAACTGCTTTTGCTTTCAACCTTTCCATGCCTCGCTAATTTACTCATACTTTGACATATACCTTTATATTTCTATAGCTATCAAAAATTTTTCATGAGATAGTTAAAAGCCCAAATATGCCTTGAGGTATACAGTCTCAGGGAGGGTAATCAGGCAGCACCTGGACAGTGCTCATCCAGTTCTGCAGATGCAGGAAGGGGGTCAAGGAAGAAGGGTCTGGCTCCATCAGCATACCATCCTGAGAGATCCCATTCTGTTTGACACAACCTCCACAAATCCATACAGAAGAGTAGGAAAGAGGAAGCAGAAATGCATTGAGATAAGAATAAAGGTTCTAGAACCAGGTTGCTTGGGTTTGAGTCCTTACTTCCTAATAGCATGACTTACTGTGATGGTTAATTCTATGTGTCCCTTTGATTGGGCTAAGAGATGCCCAGACAGCTGGTAAAACATTATTTCTGGGCATGTTTGTTAAAGTGTCTTTGGAAGACATTAACATTTGAGTCAGTAAATTGAGTAAAAAAGATCCCTCACCAGTGTGGATGGACATCATCAAGTCCACTGAGGGCCTGATTAGAACAGAAAAGCAGAGCAAGGGCAAATTCTCTCTCTCTCTGCTGGAACTGAAACATCCAGCTTCTCCTGCCTTTGGATGAGGGCTAATGCTCCTGATTCTCAAGTTTTGGGATTCAACACACCATCCACACCCCTCCACCTTTCCCCACTCCCATTCCCAGGCTTTTTGACTCAGGCTGAATTATATCACCAGCTTTCCTGGTTCTCCAGCTTGCAGATGGCAGATCACGGGACTTGTTAGCTTCCATAATTGCGTGAGCCAATCCTATAATAAATCTCATCTATATCTACATCTCTATCTATATCCTATTGGTTCTGTTTCTCTGGAGAATGCTAATACATCAACTTAATAGTTGCATGGCCTTGGAAAGTTGTTTGAGCCCTCTGGGACAATTTCCTGATATCTAAAGTGAAGATAATCATATTATCACATGTGATTGTGATAAAGATTAATGATCAATGACTGGCACACAGGAAATGTGTTTGTTACCATTGCCAGGACAGCAGCAGTCCTGTCGCCCTCCTCTTAAGGAGGGGAAGGGCTGGGTGTCCCTGCCACTGACACACTTCTTTCCGGAGTTTTCCCTCTTTGGGAAAGAACACTACAGATTAGTGAAACCAGTCAAGATATTGTTTTTTGTTTTTTTTGTTTTTTTAAAGATTTTATTGATTTGACAGACACAGCGAGAGAGGGAACACAGGCAGGGGGAGTGGGAGAGGGAGAAGCAGGCTTCCCGCTGAGCAGGGAGCCCAACGCGGGGCTCGATCCCAGGACCCTGGGATCACAACCCGAGCCGAAGGCAGACGCTTAACGACTGAGCCACCCAGGCGCCCCCAAGATATTGTTTTTAAATCCTCTGAGACGATATGCTTTGCAATTTATTGAACTGGGGCAGACGGCGGTGTGAAAACACTGTGAACACTAATAGTTGATGAATGACCAGGAGTGGTCAGGAACAGACAGTGGGGGGTGGGGGGGCAGCTAACGTTTATGGAGAACCAATTATGCGCAGACCCACTGTGCTAGGTGAGGCACTACTTTGTGTAAGGCAGGCCAGAATTTTCTGAGGGAGAAAGCTGATTATGAGGGGGAACAATTAAGTGGAATAAGACAAACCGTTGTTTAATGTTAAAGGTAATAACAGTTATTCTGTATGTTTGCATAGTTTTATTACAGACTCAATGTGGGGTAATGATATGATGCTCATTTCATGGGTGAATTTCAGAAGGATTAAATGTACCAAGGACCACATAAGTAGCAGAGACAATATTATTCAGTGAAGAAGCTACTGGACTGGGGGACAGTGCTCTAAATTGGAGATGACAAGGAGGTTTCATCCCAGATCAATTGGTGTGAGTCTTCTGGAGTGAGGAGGATTCTGGGGCTTCATCTGGGTGGAGTGAAAAGAGTACTGTCATCAGCTAGCAATGTCTGCCATGAGAGGGGGGGACGATGAGTTGTCATCCCCATATAAATATTAAGATATCTTAGGTATGTGTCTTATTTGCTTGAGTGTAGATAGAGCAGGATATAAGTCTGGGGTGGATAAACAGAGATTAAACAAGACAGGTGACCACAAGCTATAAAGGAGGCTAGAAGAATGATGTAGTGATTTCTAGAAGTTAATACTGTTTTTACAACCTGGTATTGTAAATATATTTTTGAAACAAAAACACCACTTTTTATTCTCTCCTTCCTTCCTTCCTTCCTTCCTTCCTTCCTTCCTTCCTTCCTTCCTTCCTTCTTAGACATAGATAGAATGATTTGTAACACAGAAAATTCAGAGATAGTGATTTCCAGTCAAACTTCTAACTGGTCTTGGGGAAGTCCCACAACCCACTAAGTTTTATCTTTATGGAAGAGAAGCCAGATTGACTAAGATACCCTATCGTTCAGAGTGGTTGTGAGAGGCCACCAGTATAAATACAAAAGCTTTACCTCAAATTTAAAATGACATCAAGAGGGGCGCCTGGGTGGCTCAGTTGGTTAAGTGACTGCCTTCGGCTCAGGTCATGATCCTGGAGTCCCGGGATCGAGTCCCGCATCGGGCTTCCTGCTCGGCAGGGAGTCTGCTTCTCCCTCTGACCCTCCCCCCTCTCATGTGCTCTCTC